GTACCTAATTAAGCAAAAGCTGAATTGATTTGAGCAGGAGTAGAATGAGACTACCTAGAGATGCCCACTTCACTCTCCAACTAAGTCAAAGCAGCCCTAACCGCGGCCAATTTATCAAGAGAACTAGATATGGTGTTGGGTGTGGATGTAGCTCCTATAGTAACAATTGCATTTGCATTTCCTTTTTTATTCCTAAGTCTTTTTGGAATCAACTAAGGATGAAGCTTTCAACAAGTGTCCTTAGTATGTACGTTTTGGCTTCTTATAGTAGTCACAAAAAACATCTCTCTTTCCTTCCCTTCCTCACTTACTTATCCTTATCACCTCCAAACTTTGGATTAATGGCTACTAAACTTGATTTCATAGATGGAATTTGTAACATAACCTTCCTCCTATTTTCCTTACTATGTACTAAAGAGTAGGCCTAAGATAAAGAGACACTATCTCTAGTGAGTAGTTATTGTCTCATAATGTCATAGTCAGAGTTCAAACTAGTCAGGAATTCGAACATTGTTTTTTTCAACCAATTTTCTATATGTGGCCAAGGTTCAAAGTATCAACACGTATCAACCAATACGTATCGTTCTGAGACCCCTCCAATACGCCCCTATAGTGGGTGTATCGGAGGTTTGACTGGTTCAGGGGGTAAAGGAGACCTAAACCGCCCCCCTTGAATCAGTTGGGAAAAAATTAAAAAAAAAAGGGCTTGGAAATGTGTATCGATTCGCCCGATACACCGATAGGGGCGTATCGGGTGTATTGATATTTTGAACCCTATATGTGGCAGCATCCTTCTAGTTATAGGGCTGCATGAAATTGCACAACCAAGTCATAACAAGATAACTTTCTTGGACCCATTTAGCAAGAGAAGGATCCTCCTGTGCTAGTTTCTTTGTGTCTCCCATCACATACCCTAGCTTCCCCCTTCCTCTAATGGCCATTATGGCCGATTGGGACCATTCCAAATAGTTTGTTCCATCAAACTTTACTATAGTAATCTGAAATGAATTGTTGTCAACAACATTTCCAGCTCTGACAAGTCCTTTATATGATTTTGACTCATTTCCAGTAATTTTCATACTGGAAGATCAATGAAGAGTCACAAAAAAAAGGAGAACCTGCACTGATTAATCATCTTTTTTACAAAAAAAAAAAAGTTGCCCCTTGAAGTGTTGTCCAACATCACCCAAAAGAATAAAAAAGTTTATAGACCTCTCCATGAACCCAAGGAAGTGAAAATTGAAGTGAAAACTCCCTACCACTCAATCCAGAAACACAGTTCAAGAAAAAAACTTAAACTCATCCTTAAAGAAGTCAAAGAACTGGTAATCAACCCTACCAGAGGATTCCAAACAACTTTTGAGATATGCCAATCCACCAAAAAGAAGCATGAAAAATACCCAAAAAAAACGGGCACCAAAATCAATCACTGATTTAAGCCCTAAATTAGAAACTGACTTGTTTTTCTCTAATTCTTCCTAGTCACCAGGTAACTTCTCCAAGATTTCAATACCTTGAGCACCTCCTACAATCTCGAATGACCTCCAAGAACCAAGTGATTCAAGCTAAAACTTCCATCCCTAAAAAGGTCTCATGTAGTCGGTTGGATTTCCCTACATGAGAAACCCTAATCTGTTTTAGATATACTCTGATACCAAGTTGTCTATAACCAAATAGGTTCAAACTTATTCTGTAAAGAAAAGAAACTAGAAAAGAAGAAAAAAGAACAAAGGAAGAAGAGCAGAGAAGAAGAGAAAAGAATAAGAAAAAGGGGTGCATTTGATCTAATTTGTTTTGCCGCAGTAGGTACTATTTATATTAGACACACAAATAAAAAGTGTACATTGACAAGAATACCCCTATGAACAATAACAACACAAGCTCAAGCTAACAACAACATAAAACAAAAATATATCATTAGTAAACAATAAAAAATGTGGGACCACAAGCTCATCAAACATTTTCTCCACAAGATCAACATGTAATGCACTACCATTGCTATTGAGCAAATTTAGGTCTTTTACCAAGTTGTGGAACTATGGAAGTAATGATCTTATTTTGTGAAATTTTTTTTCATTAATGACAGCATAGAATTGTAGTTTTGTATATGATCCATAAATTTGTTGTCATTAAAAAGCATCTTCAAATATCCTAGGGTACTTGATAATAATAGTAATTTCACTTGTCCATCCTAACAATAAAGTGTAAACTTAGAAAGTCTCTCCTCCATCCACATAAGTGCAAAACAATGTCTACATTTTATAGTTCTCCTTCCAAAAGTCCTTTTTTCTATGAATTTCCTTTGGGATCAACGTAAAAAAATTAGATGTTCTAAAGTAGATTGAGGACATGTTACTTGAAGTGACATTATTATTATCCCCATCTTGTACATATCCATAACCACACTTGTATAATCCTTTAATAGCACAAAAGATCTCATCAAAAAAAATCTTTGCACGACTAACCAAAAGTTTGACAATTTGGGGCTGTGCTTTTGTTTTTGATATCTCCATTAACAATCTCCTATGAAGCATGCGCACTACTTTCATAGATCGAGCAATTTTTTGTACCATGGATATGTCAGGCTTCTTTCTCATGATAATCATCTTAAGCTTTCTAATCCTTTGAGATAGCTTATATAAATAACTTTTTCATATAACATCGTTTTGGTTTTCCTATAGTGTTCTAATATAAATAAAGAATGACATATGGCACACTATTGTTTGTAGGGAGAGAGAAAGCGAGAAAGATAAATAATAATAGCAATTATTATTACTATTATTATTATTACTATTATTATTACTATTACTATTATTATTATTATCATTATTATTATTATTATTATTATTATTATTATTATTATTATTATTATTATTATTGTTGTTGTTGTTGTTGTTGTTGTTGTTGACTAGGCATCAACCCAAAAAAGGGAGAGGTTCACAGGTCAAAGGTTCTTCTATAACATATATTTTTCTTTTTATTTTAGTTCTACTTTTTCATAATAAAAATTAAGATTTGAAGCAAAAGAAAAACATTTTTTAGATAAATAGTGGGGTAAAGCTCCTTTTTCACCTTGGGAATACATAGATCACAAAATGTTACCCAAAATCAAAACAAAGATCACCTGAATTGGACATCCAAGCACACAGTTATGGCCTTTAGAAGTTTGCATTTATGTGCAAAAACAAATATCAAAAAAATCATCCGGTCTTCTAAAACCAAGACTGAGTAACCAATTTTTTAGTTCAACCTTCTGGGTCACCAGTTTTGGCCAATTTTCTACACACTACAGTTTTGGGGGTATGACCAAACTGGCCAAGGGTCCGGGCTATGGTTCGACCAATCCAACCGATTACTCCGATTTTCTAAACACTATTATTATTATTATTAAGATAAATATAAATCCATGCATGTAGTACACGGGTTGCTAACATATTTAGCAACTCATGTATTACACGGGTCGTGCAACAACCTGGGTCTTTTTTTGTTTTTGTCACTTGTTTTCCTTTTTCCTTTTTGTTTCTTTTTTTTTATGTTAGGCCTCTAATGAGTCAGTTTGGAAGTCAGATCTAATATTTGGTCGATTTTAGGACACAACATTAGATTTTCTAGAAATAGTACCTGGTTTATTGTTGCTGCAACTTTAACGCCTGAACCGATTTGAACCAAGTAAAGCGCGCCTGAACGTTCATCAACGAAGAAAAAACCCTAAATCTGCAACCAATGAATAATACTCTGAAACCAACTCTACAACAAAAATAGTTCCTTCGAGAACTAACTCTGAAACCAACAAAAAAGAGAAGTTTGGAACTATCTCACATTTAGAACAATCTATGCATGATTTGGAACAATATCTGCAACTATCTTAACTTTGAACATCTCCTATAATGTTAAAGAGTGTGAAAAAGAGGGAGAGAGTTTGGAGTCAAGAGAGTGTAAGAAAGAGGGAGACATTTGGATTTCCCATGTTTGAAATAAAAGCCTCTTGGGAGATGTATTGGAAGTCCAAACGTCTTTACGATTCGGTTTTAGTGAACACCCCTATCGTCGTCATGAGTGAAAGCAATGACTGAGCTCAGATCTCAAAGTAAAAAACCGTGCAAATACAACCTTACATTGAGACTATTTACTATACGAGTACGTTAAATTTGTTGAGAGATGTTACCAATGTGCAGTTGGATACCATGCTAATATTCTCATAATTCTGTTTCATTTCATTTGGTTGATAATAAAAAATATTTTGGCCAATAGGCAAATCCCTATTTAATCTAGATACAATGGATAAGATTCGAATCCAAATATTAGCAAAACAAATTTAGGTCTGACTAGTAGGTAAATCCCATTTGGCATCCCCATAACTTACCATATGTTCCATCCTTGTGGAACCCCTAAATCATTCTGCCTAGGGGTTGATTATGCCTAAGTTGGAACAACTATTTCAGTTTCTTCTTCTGACCCATGCTTTCTGTACAACTCCATTAAGGACACATGGACATTATTTGTCACCGTTCAAATGGATATAGTGAGCTTAGCTTCTATATACAGAGCCTGAGATCTTCCCCAGGGAGCTTGAGAGAGGAAGCTCAGCTCAATTCTTTAAAATCAATTAGGCCCAGTTTGGCTCGCGGGAATAAGGGTCTGGAATTGGAATCCAATTCCAACTGTGGTTGGACGGAATCGGAATCCCATTGCATTCCCCCATTTGATAGACAAGGTGTTGGCTAAAACTCAATTCAATGTAGGGTATGATGTTTGTGATGGACTAATGGCTCGATACTGAATTTTTCAGTATCACGCATATCGATACTATGAACCATAATTCTAGATATAGAAATAATAAATCAGAGATGGATGGTTCCTGGCCATGTTTCCATGTCCTATTTTGGCTCCGAAATGAGACACGGCTAGGCCCCAAAACATTCTCTGAGTCCTGTTCTGGCAGACTCCATAACTGCATCACCAAAAATATAATCACTCAGACATTATTAACAAACTGAAGATAGAAACATAAACAAATTTGCTCTTTGTAAAGAAAATACAAATGATCAATTGACAAATGAGATTAAACAAATTAAGCAGCAGCTTGGATAGTTATCTTGTGAGTTGGGAGTACAAAGTCAACACATCAGAATAAAAGATAAACAAGAACAAAAGTTAACTTAGTTTTTCGGATAGTCAATTATTTCTTTATACAAGGGAACAAAATAGCACCATTGCTGTCAAATCTTCCAGCTCATGCAGTCAGGAAAACAAATACCTGGTCAGATCCCTGTGCCAAAAAAGCAGCATGAAGTTTCTTGTAAAGCTGGAGATCATGACAAGAGTAGTCACATGCCATTAAAGCCCACTTTATACCTTATAAAAGGTGATTTTGAGGTAGACCATTTGGTGCCACCTAAGGTTTTGCAGGCTAATGCCCTGATAGGTAGTAAAACTTGCCTAGTTTTTACTTCAAAAGTTTGAAGGAATATCCACAAAACTTAGATGGCACCATCAATACAAGTACCTGTGATTCAGATAAAGACTTCATCCTATGATAATACTATGACCCAATCAGACAATTAGCAAGTATTATATATAGATCATTTGTGCGTGTATGTATATATATAGAGAGAGAGAAAGAGAGAGAGATAGAGAGAGAGATGGGACGTAACTGTTTTTATTTGTGTTGTCATCAAATGCAAAAACAACAAAATATTTGACAAAAAAAAAAAACAGAACGAGCTACAAGTAATGGATGTCAGCTCACCAACTCTTGGTCCCAACTTTGTAAAAGTCCACAAAAGTAAACTTATTTAGATTTCTTTGGTTGCTCAACTCTTGCACCCATAATCTTACAAACAGGTTCATCTTTTGACTGTATAAGCCGTAGTGCCGGGTGAACTTTGAGGTCTCCCATTACCAGCTTTTGACCAACGTCCAGCTCACTCAGATCAACATCAATGTATGGTGGCACAATGTCAGCAGGGCAAAGGTACCGTACTGTCCTCCGTATAGTATTCAAGTAAGCCCCTGACAATTTCACAGAATAACAATTTTACATGGCTGAATCTTAAATCTATATGATGCTCGGAGAAAACAAAATAGCAGTTTATTTGTTGTCAAAATCTTACAGTTTACAATACGATTCATGATTTGAATCATGAATCCCAAGGGTTTCCATTCGAATCTGCAAAAATCTTACGATTTTTGTTTGAATCCTACGATTTGATTCATAAGTCTTACGATTTATACAATTTTCTATGATTCACTTACGATTCAAAGAAACTCAATTAAGATTTTTTTTATAAGTAATAGACTCAATTAAGAATTAGTTCTCTACTTTTTTTTTTGTTTATATTTAGTTTTGTCAAGGGAAGACTTTTTTTAAAGCCCTTACTAGAAAACTATTTATTACGTTATTTAAGACAAGAAATTGAGTTTACTTTCCATCATATGTAGGTCAAAGAGCCATTGTATGTAGATTTGTTGGATTTTTCATGTGCAACTTGATTATATCATCTTAGGCTTCTATTTTTACGTACATATATGGTAGATATAGATTAAAAATAAAGTCACTTTCTTATATATATTTAGCCTTTTAATATATCTATATTTAATTTTTTGACAGTTTGTAATAGAAATAATCTTATGATTTACGATATGATTCAATTCAACTTTCTCTATGATTTACGATACAATTACGATTTTCAAAACATTAAGTTCAATCTAAATCAAAACTTTCTGGAGAACCAAAATAGTGTCAAGGGACTGCATATCAAGGAAGGTTGCAGTGAAAATAAACCATCTCAGGGAAGTCATGTAAAAGTTAGAAATGTCAAAAAAGAAAAGACAAAGGTACCATCTAATAGTCTTAAGCAGTTTGCCCATATCACTTTCCATACACCTAGTCAAATACCTCCCCTAAGCTAATCATTATAAGTGAAGTTAGTTAACAATCCACAATTCCAAAATCCACATGGACTCCCTAAGTTGCACAACTACAGGACAAGTGGGATGGTCAGTTTAAAATCTCGAAATTTTTTACCATATTTTACAAATGAATTTTTTTTTTACTTGAATGTAATGGGTAAATGGCTAAAACCTTAGTTTTTAAAGTAAATGACCATGGTTCAAGTCTCTTTTAACTTATATTTAGCTTAAAAAATGTGTTCATTAAAGCAATATATACATTAAAGAGTCATAATATACACAAATAAAGAGATGGATTAATGGTAATAAGACGATACACACAATAGAAAGGTTATGGGTTCAAATCTTGCCATTAACATTTTGAAAATTTCATCCATTTGGTGATTGGGCAGTTCTAGAAAACTGGGACCGGTTCACCAATTTTCCAGTTAAACCGGACAATCAGCCGGTTTTGACTGGTTTTTCATGAATTACAATTCTTAGCATATGACCAAACCGGTCAAGGCCCCGGATCATGGTTCAAGCAACCCAACTGGCTGGCCCACTCCGGTTTACTAAACAGTGATTATTTCATTGTTTTTATTTTATTACTATATACCTTTTTTTGTAAGTTACATTACTTGTGTTGTTTCTAAACAGTGATTGTTTATTAACTTCAATATTAGATATCTTTGGTATGTTTGCACTTTGCACAATGTGGCTGCTCTTACACTTCAACCCATGTTCTCATGCTTGTCAGCCCAGAATTTTACCACTGCACCAAGCAATTCAAACCTGTGTATTTATTTGTATATGTTTATTCGTAGGCATGGGACAGAGTTTGTTTGTGTACATGTTGTAAACATATGCAACGGTGCTTCACCCCAAAATAAGCTTTCCTTTGAAGCACCTTACCTTGCTAACGTGTCAAACTTGGTCTAAAATGTCCCTAATTTCTCTAATATTTCCACGACATATTTTCATTTCCATGGGAAGTGACATGAAATTTTACTAGAATAGGCATTTCCCCAATAAACACTATCAACACTATGTGGAGTACAAGAGATAGTTTTCACGACATAATTCCGTTTCCACTTCAATGGGTAGCAAAATGAAATTTTTCTAGAATCGACATATTCCCCAGTGAACACTACCAATACCATGTGGAGTCCAAGAGAGAGTATTATAACATATGTTGGTGACAATATTGTAAGTATGTGAAATAACAATGTTATTGTCCACCTAGTTTGCATGATTACCACTTTGGGCTAGCTCAATATTCATTTCAAACATGAAGTTAAATGTTGGTTTTTTGTTTGTGCAARAGATTATTTGGTTGATCTATTAAACCATTTACATTTTCTATTAGTTAAAATTTTGCTTTAACTCATTCTATCATGAAGCTCTAAATCTTAAGGTTTATAGGGCAACATCAGAATGTATTCTTTTGTGTATAACCTTAGTTTCTTAGCTTTGTTTAATGATTTGAAACAAGATAATAATTTAAAAAGGTGTGTCTATGCTTCTTTTATCATTTCATAAATATCATTCTCTATTTTGCTATCTTACAATACTTCCACATTCCACCATGTCTATAGTTTTTACAATATTTCCATATGATATTTCCGATATTTCCAACATGTTTCTTATATTTGGATGACTGATATTTCCACTGACATCAACATTTTAAACCTTGGTGTCATCCATGCTATTTGAGGCTAAGCACCCACCAGGATGAACAACTCAAATTGAATCCACTGCTCTTGGTTATCTTACAAAAACAGTAAGGCTCATTTTACTTCATTCCCAAACTTCAACCAATTTATCACCAAGGTTCAAAATTTCAATACAATATGCCCCGTATCAGGTTTAATGTATTATATCATGACCTGGCGATACATGAAATTTAAAGCTTTTATGGGTCAAAACCCATCTCAAGGGGTAGACAGGCATAGGGTTCAAAGTACCGATAGGTTTTGAGAAAAAATAGAAAAAAAAAAAAAAGAAAAATCAAGCATAGGATTCAAAGTACCGATATACCCCCTTCATCACTACTTGGCAATCTCCACTTTGAACCACTGTCCAGCCAGTTGTTAAAGCAAATTTTAGGCCATGTTTTGGAGTGCTTAAAAAAGGTGCTTATTTGAAAAAAGTGCTTATTTGGGCCAGGACCACACCATTAAGCACTTATTTGTGTTTGGGAAAAAAGCCCCAAATAAGTGCTTATTTTAAAAATAAGGGCTTATTTTTAAGCCCAAATTTCCAGCTTTTTTAAGTGCTTATACAATAAGCACTTATTAATTTTTTTCTTCCAAAATTATCCCTAGTTGAATTTTAAAATACCACTTATAAAATCATCCCTAGTTGAATTTTATAAAATTACTTTCGTAAAAGTACTTTTACAAAAGTGCTTCTATAAAAGTTCTTTCATAAAAGTGCTTTTATAAAAGTACTTTCGTAAAAAAACTTTTATAAAAGTGCTTTCACAAAATTTGAAAAAAAAAGTCACAAATGCTTAGTGCTTATTGGAGAAAAAGACTATCGAACACCCAATATGAAACAAGTGTTTATATTTTAAAATAAGCACTTGAAAAAGTTGGGTGCCAAATGTAAATAAGTGCTTATTCGAATAAGCACTTGTTTTTCATATAAGCACTCCCAAACATGGGCTTAGCCCATGTAATACCGCACATAGCCCCACTTTTTAATCTCAAAGACAGGACACTTATGGGCCTACAGTCCTTGGGGTGCATCCCATCTAGCTTCTTGGGAATTAAAGCTAGGAAAGTAGCATTAACTCCTAGGCTTATGAAATGCCTATCAACAAACTCATTAAACACCTCACATAAGTCTTCCTTCACAATCTCCCAACAATCCTAATAGAAATCCATAATGAGGCCATCCGGTCTAGGGGCTTTAGATTTATCCATCAAGAAAATCACCTTCTTTATTTCTCCTTCCTCATAATTTCCCTTCAACCACCTTAGCTTCCTCACTACCTAGCTTTGTCCACTCCAACTCTTCCAGCCTTAATCTAGTCCCCAAAGGCCTCTTGAAAATGGATTTGAATTTTTCTACTAGGGTTCTAGCTATCTCTTGTTGATTTGAAATAACTCCCAATTTGGCTATGTAATTCTTCCTCCTTTGATTGGCAATGGCATGAAAATATTTAGTATTACCATCCCCTTCCTTATCCACTTATGCCTTGATTTTTGCCTCCAACAAATTTCTTCCCTATGAAGAGCCTCTTCCAAATCCTTTTTTAACTTCCACCTCTATTCTCTTTCCTCCCCAGTAATACCATCTTGTCTCTCTTTTTCATCTAAAACATCAATTTGAGTGGTGATGCCAAACTTCTTTTCTTCCAAACTCCCAAAGTTATCCCTATTCCAATCCTTAAGTTTGGCTTTTAAGTTTTTTAGTTTCATATAAAATTTCACAGCATTCCACAAGATCCCACCTTCCTCTTCCCTACATTTCTTAATCCTTTCTATAAACTCAGGGTGAGTTAACCACATATTTTCAAATATGAACGGAGAAAGTCCCTTGATAAATTCACCAGACCCTAAACTGATGGGGCAATGATCAGAGGTCACTCCAGGTAGAACCTTAGAAGCTTAACTTTCCCAATGTTCTTCCCATTCTAGGCTAAGCCGGAATTTATCCATCTTTGACCAAAGAGGGTTTGCTTGACCGTTGGTCCAAGTAAACCTTGCTTGCATGAGATGAAAGGAATCTCCTTTAATTTACAACACTATAAAATTATTAAATTAAACCTTCTCATACTGGCTGAGATATTATGGTGTGTATTGCTCAATTCACTAGAGTATTCTTCTTCTTCTTCTTCTTCTTCTTCCACCTTTTCTTTTCTTCTTTCCTATAACAAAAGTAGGGGTTCAGCCCCTATATTTTTTGAATTTTCTTTACTTAGTTCTTTTTCTTCTCATAAAATGTTGATTTTCTAGACTTAAACATGAAATTTATACTTTTCTTGTGAAAATTATGAATAATTATTAAGGAAAGATGGTTATGGAACCTAGGGAACTACCCTAGGATCTAGGGTTTTACTTAAAAAAATCCATCGCCTAGGCGACTAGGCGACCAGGCGCCCCCCTGTCGCC